AGTGGAGGTGGGCCCCCCAGCATGTGTCTGCGGGGTTCCCTCAGGGCGTGTGGTGGATGCGGGGTTGGGGGGCCGGGGCAGTGGAGGTGGGGGGCGCACGGGACCCTTACCTGCCGGTGGAGCCAGGCGTCACTTTCGTCCTCGTGTTTCTGAAAGGAAATATGAGCACTGGAGAGCGAGCTACGGGCAAGCCGCACACCCGTGGCCAGCAGTGCGGACACCATTAGCCTTCCGTGCTCGTCACTCTGCTGTCTCGTGCTGTGACTCAGGGCCAAACCCCAGGGCCCCAGAACGGGAAGCGTTGCTCACTCTCTTGGCACCAAGGACAAACCACGGCACAGAGGAATCCTTTGGGAGGTGGGGCACTTTTATGATTTGGTGGCCGTGCCTGACCGGGCACGTGCCTGTCTAAGGCAGACCGCAGGTGCTACACCGTCTTAGATTCGTGTGTGTGTGCACGTGTGTGTACACGTGTGTGTATGTGCACACGTGTGAACTTTCCGGTTCACGACTCTGAGTAAACCAAAATATTGAGGAGTTTAAAAAATATGTTCGAACAGCAGATCTCACAGAGCCGTGTAGAGCGATGCGTAAGAGGTGTGGCCAGTCACACGATGACCACGTCCCAGGGCGCCGTGGGCCTGTCCCTGGTGCTGGCCTGGCCTCTGGATGCCCCAGGGCAGTGCCGGTGCTGGAGCATCTGCTGCTGCCACTCGCGGCGTGAGGGGCCCGGCTAAGCGAATCACGAGCGATGCCCGCGCTCGGCTGCGTGTCCGTTCTCTCCTCCCGTCCCCTCAGGTAAGCCCGTCGGAGAACCCCGGAAACTGCTCTAAATCAGACACAACCCGGGCAAGTCGCCGACCCCGCAGATGGTGACAGTCTGAGTACCAGACCCCGCCACCCACCGTGACACCACCCTGAGGCGGCACAGTGACAGCAGCTGCTTAGGGCCTCCCCAGCCACAGCAAAGCCGACTTGCAAGCCTCTCTCCCCAGGCGGGAAATAAAAATGTAGGGTCAAAAAATAGTTTCTGAAAGACCCACCTGAATGTATTAATCGACTTTGATTTCTTTTTACCCAACACCAGGCGATGCGCCTGTCAGGGGTGGAGACGTGGGGACGCTCGGGCCTGCGGGGTGGTGGCCGGGAGCCCGCGGGTCCTCACCTCGCCGTGCGCTCTGCCTGGCCCGTCAGTAATTGTTGCCCGCTCCGTGCCCCCTCCGTGCGTTCTTTTCCTTCCTCCCCCGCCTCCCCCTCCTCTACTGCCGGGGCCCTCGGAGCAGGGCTGACCTGGCCAGTGACTTTCAGAGACGGGCCGACCCGTCCAGGGGGCCGACCGGCTGTGGGGCGGGTGGAGGACAGAGCCGCTCACGCGGGCAAGCCGGGGGTGTGGGCTGCACCCCAGGACCGGGGGCCTCAGGCCAGCCCCTCACCCTCTGTGAGCGCCAACTGGACAATGAGGAGAAGGCTCGTTGGGAAGTAGCAGTGGGCATGGGTGACCGGGCGTGACACACCTGTGACCCGCCCAGCACCTGCTGGGAGGCCCAGAGCTGAACGTCCTGTGGCTGCACTAAAGTTTCCCACCAGGTGGCGCCAAAGCAGAGACGTGGACGCAGGTGGCTGCCTGGAGCAGCACGGGACAAAGCTGAGTGTCAGCAGGGACCGAGCCCGAAGGCGGGAGGACGGCCCGATACCGCCCCCGGGGCTCCCTGCCATGGGGTCCCCCTCCCAACCCCGTACCTTGGTGCAGACGCCGGTGGTGGCGTCACAGAGGGTGAGGATGGACACGTTCTGCGCCCGGCTCAGCCAGTTCACGGCGACCTTGGTGCTGGTGGCCCACTTCACCATGGTGATGTAGTACTCCCTGAAAACACACACACACACACATACTCACGCATGCACAAGGCGAGCAGCTGTGCAGGCCCGCGGGCCACAGGCGGGCACGGCCCAGCCCCGGGCCCGGGGCCTGTGGCCGGGCGGATCTCGGTGGACACAGGGCTGCTCAGGAACACGCACTGGTCACGAACTCGCTGGGGACCGTGTCCCTAACACGTGCCGGAATCAGCCACCCAGCCATGTTCCTTCCGAGCAGCTCCCTCAGGAGCTGCGTGTGAATGGGGTGTGGCCTGGCACACAGCTGTCCCTCTGACTCAGTCCTCCTGTCACCGCCTGGGGCGAAGGCGCAGTCACGTGCGGGGGCAATGAGGGGGTCCCGTGAGGGCCGGCCACACCGAGGAGGGCCGGCCACACCGAGGAGGGGGGAAAGTAGGAGGAGTGAACGCCCCGGACGTCCCCTAGCGAACTCCACAGCCCGAGTGCGAACTCGGTTTGACAGCCAGGTGTCCCACGCCTGCTTTTCATCCTCACCTGAAGGGACCACAGTGTGGGCCTGCCCTAAACTTAGCACGAGGGCGTCTGGTAATTCACGCAACTACCCAGAACCTTGCAAAAATGGGCATTTTAGCAGAAAAAGTACATTGAAGAAGAAGGAAATGTCAGGAAAATAAGTGCACAGAGTACATTGAAGAAGAAGAAGGAAATGTCAGGAAAATAAGTGCACAGGAATATCCTCAGATGAATTCGAAGAAAGTTCCAGAGGCAGCTCCATCGCCCGCCCCTCCTGTGTCTGTAACGAGATCTGTTGCTGAGGATGGTCGCTTTGTGGCCTCACAAGGTCCTTTGTCCCTGAGGACGGCAGGATACTCACCAGACACTTCCTAGCAAGCTGAGAAGGGACCTTAGCACATCCAGCGACAACGTTCAACAGAAAGGCCTAAATAACCAGGCGCTTTGAACTAAGCTTTGGTTATTACCCCGAAAACGAACAGGGCCGTTACCCGTTTTTCCTAACTTCGCATAAGCCGGGAGCGCGTGGCGAACAGGGCGGCGAAGGCCTCTGACCCCGGCCATCGGCTCCCACGTGGCCGGGAGGGCAGGCCGGGAGGGCAGGCCGGCCCACGGCTCTTGGCAGCCTGGGCGAATCTACCGAGGACGTGGGTGGTGAGTCATCCAGGCGTAACCAGCGCCTGCGATTTCCGGCCTTCTCCGTTTCTGCAACCTTTGAAACACGTCTCACGTCATCTGCTCGGCCAGCCTGCGGGCCCCGGGGCATCTGGACGTGTGCGTGTACAGCACCTGCTTTGTCACCCGCCCTCTCGCGGCCCCCACTCTGACTGGTCACATGTCCTTTCGGCAATGTCCTCTGGGTCCCGCTTTGCTGCCTGTTCGCCGCCCGAAGGCTCCGAGACATTCGTAAAGATGCGGCGTGATCATCTGCCTGAATACGTGGAGGCACGAAAACGCACATGCGGCTTTAGTCCTTAGAAGTCACTCAAGGTCTGTGCCCACCCCTTGCTTCACATGTAAGACCGTTTATTTTAATTATGCCATAAATGGCCTGTGGGTCCGTGCGGACAGAAGTGGATGACAGACCAAGAGCTCGAAGGCTGTGGGATGGACATGAGCTCATTCCTGTCTCCTTGGGCCATGAGTGAGACCTGCCTGATGCCGACGTTCATGACAAGGGCGTGGCGTGTGAGGTCCTGGTGACAAGCCACACTCACTCTACCAGCAACTATATATCACTGAGACGAAGCCAAGGAAGAAAATGTCAGGTCTCTGGGAGTGACAGTTTTTCCCACGGCCTCTGCACTGCACGGATGCCCTATTTTTGTTTCTTTCACTGAACACGGCCATTCGTCCTGTGCCTCTTCCTAGGTTCCACGTCGTCCTTCGGCGTACACGATCGTCACGGAAGCCAAACGCGGAAGAGAAAATCATTCTGACTCTTGTTAAAATGCGAAGGCGGATGGACCTCAGCACTGTTGCCGTCGGCGTGGAGACCACCGCCCGGCCAGGCAGAGGGGGCAGCGGGCTCAGCTCAGGACGCAGGGAGGAAAGCCGCCATCAAGGGACGCGATAATATAACATAAAAGCTGCTTCGGGTCAATATGTCCTCGCCTTACAAACACGTAGTCACTCTTACGAAGATTTAAAAACAAAAGGCGGCACACGTGACAAATGAAACGGAAAGATAAGTTTTAAGAAAACAAACACAAATATGCTCTGTTTCTGGAACCAGAGATGAACCGTGGTAAAGTATGCAAAGTGACCATCGGTTTGGGAAGCACCGAGTCGACCGCGTTTAAGCCGCACGAGGGCAGAGCGCCCGGCACAGGGCTTCGCGCACGGTTCGCACCTCAGGTCCATCGATGAAAGGGGTTTAATTTTAAGAGAAGGAGCGATGAGTTTCTTTTCTGAGAGGAAGGCGTCCGATGAAACGATTCTAAAGCTCACATACAGGAAGAAACGGGCTCAAATCGCCAAGATGGTTTAAAAAAGTCTAATCCCAATGAGGCGTTTATACCAAAGGTTGCTGACGACGTAGTTTAGCTACAGCCGTTTTACGGAATGATCAGTAGATTTATGAGTGGATGTACAGCCTTAAACCACAACGCTTTACATAGCAACTGTTTTTATAATAATTTAATATTTAATACGAGTGTCATCGCAAACCGGTGGGGGAAGGAAGACTTCTACAATAAATGGTGCTGGGGAAATGGCTTCGTTATTAAAAAACAGACAAGCAAGCAAAGAACAAGTGTGCATGTCTGAAAATAAAAAGGGAAAATTTATCAGAATGCTCGCAAGTGGTTATTATTTTCCGTGAAGCAGAGATTACTTTTTAAATCAAAAGATTATTAAGAATAAGATGGAGGTTTCTAATTTAAGCGGGTGGGTTTATCACATTTGTTTGTTATGTCTTCACTCTCCAGAAACCTAATCGCGATGGTATTAAAGGAATGAAGTAGGAATACGTCCCCACTGACGTGGATGATGAGGAAGGGACATTTCCGGAGGACGGGGGCGCGTGTGCTTGGGGACGCGGCCGCCTCACACCGCCTGCAGAAGTGAAGCCCGCAGGGCATTCTGGGGACTTGGAGGTCCGGGCACCACGGAGCGCCCGTGTCGAGGCCGAGGACTGGCTGAACGGGAGTACCATCTGGGGGCCTCTGAAGGAGACGGGCGATAAAGGAGAGGGGGCATTTAGATACGTCATTTCAAAACTCCAAAGACCCTTCAGGAGGAAAGAGAAACACACGACCCGCAGGGATCAGACGAAGGTCGACTTTGACGGGGACCACACTGAGCACTGGAGGCCGGGGGGCCGTGCCCCCCAAATGCGAGGGACGCTGGTCTTCGAACTGCCATTCCACACGCAGCTAACGTTTTCAACAAAGTTGAGAAAAAGACATTTTTAGGTACTGAAGAACTCAGAGAGGTGATGCCCCACAGGGTCCTTCCTTAGGGAGGCACCTGGAGGATGGCGTGAGGCCTAGAACACAGCGGCTCTGGCTGGGGACAGCAGTGACACGCGTCCCTGGGTGGCACTGGCGCAGATGTGGTGAAGGCCGACTCCTCCGGACCACGCCAGGGCAGCAGAGGACACTCAGAGAGACAGACCCGGGGACGAGGGCGATCCGACAGAATCCCCGACAGACTTTGAAAAAGTAGAAATAGAAACGAGAGCATGATGAAACCAAACAGTCCAAGTGAAAACTAAAAACAACGTAAAACTCCAGGAAAAACAGGAAGCTGAATGGAAAGGAGACACGGTCACCGAGCTTAGTGCCACCGCGAAGGGCAGCGACTCGCGAGGCCGTCGATGCCGTTTACGGATGTTCATCTTTTAGGGTCGGCCTGTAGGTAAGTGAGGGTGATTCAATTACGGTTCCAGGACGGAACACGAATGCCATCAACCTTGATGACACGAGAGTGACAAACAAAGCACGGAAGTTTGTAGGGAAGAGATGGGGGAGGGGCCTGTAGGAAAGGGCAGGGTTGGTATTTCTACCTCACACGTTGGGGAGTCGCGAGTTCTTGTCTGCAGTTAATGCAGAAGACACCCCCAGACCTGCGCCCCCCGAGAGCCGCGCTCATCCTTCACCCCTTCCCACACCTACGACCTGTGCCGGGCACCTCGCACCGCCGTGCGTGCCCAGCCCTTCCCGACGAGTCCCAGCTGCCAGGGCTGGGGGTTCCCCCTCGGGGCGTGTCTCACCTGTCACAGCCCAGTGCCGGGGCTGGGAACCTGTGGAAGTGATCTACAGGACACCCAGGACTTGAATGATCTGGTCTCGCAAGGGGAGACGGGGTACGGACCGGGGGTCTGGGGGGCAGCGACGTGATGAGAGGCGGCCACGCACCTGGGCGTCTGACGCCCCAGCAAAGAATGAATCGGCGTAGCCGATGAACAGGCGTGGCTGCAGGCCGTGTGCCCAGGGAGAGTCCGGTGGCCTCTCCCGTGGAGCCCGCTGGTGTCGGTGCCGGTGGTCAACCCCGTGACCGCTCTACTCAGGAGGGGGCACAGACGGGATGGCAGCCTGTTTCCACGGTCCCGTGTCGCCGGCCGGGGTTTGGGGCGACTAGGCAGCGTGGACTGCCTGCCGTCAAGCTCGCTCCGAGACGTGGGGGCGCCCAGGGAACGGCGGCAGCCCGGCGGTGACCACACTGGGCGTCTGTGGCACAGCCCGCCAAGGCCCCTGTCACTGGAGGAGGAGGGTGGCAGGAGAAACAGGCTTTAATCATCAAAGGCACTGGTCCCCAAAGTGTGGAGCCCGGACCAGCGGCACCTGGCCAGTGTTGGAAATGCAGATCCTCAGGCCTCGCCCCAGACCCACTGAATCCCAGACTCGGGGGGTGGGGCCGAGAACCTCAGGTGACCAGAGATGCACAGGTGGGAGGCTCGCTGATCTAAGTGAGGCACGTGACTCGTGAGCGCGTGGAATGCACGACAGCAAGTGCCCAGGGCCACCCAGACCCAGGTCGCCTACCTACGTCTGCCTCATCTCTGCCCTTGCGAAG